ACTTAAATTCGTGTACTGGTAGATATTTCTCACCCGCGGTTTGAATCATACCATCGCAACCGTAATTATATATCATCATATCGCGTAGTAGTGTTATCCATGAGCGCTATTACAGCACATCAGCGCTGAATTCGAGGCACAGATTACCCTGTAACGAAATAACTCGATCTACAGATACATATCTATCTAAAAAACGAGAAATATTAGGTTTGAAAATAAATTAGTAATCATAACCACGTGGTCAAAAAAAAAAAGATCGAAGATAGTGTTAACGGAAGAGAAAAAGAAAATAAAAAACTCTGTATTTGACCCGGTTTTATATTCAAGAATCAAGACTTAACGGTGTCCAGCCAAAAATAAGCATCGATCCACGAATACCTAATTGCAAAGTCGTTCAATTCGTTTAGTACTGGCCCAATTCAAGAAGATACGTCGAAATATGCAGGTCGTTGGAATTTGTATTCTTGCGGTGCTCGTTCGACTCTTCACTACTTCCTCCTCTTACTCCTCCTCCTTATCCTCCTCTTACTTTTTCCTCGCGGTCTTTCTTGCCGAGTTCGGTGATGGCCGTTATATCGACGGTCACGTCGTCTTCACACGCGTCGTCTTCTTACGAGTAAAGGGTTTCCCCCAGGTTGACATCAAATGAGAACAGAAGAATCTCTTTTGTATCATAATTAATATATTCATCATCAAGAATATTTTAACAAACTTTCCACCCATACCGCAACACATATTAAACAAAATAATAGAATACTGATTCAATACTATAATTCAATTCAGTAATTGAATTGCACCAAAATATGACATGCAACATATTTATTTACTTGTCCTTCACCAATGATCGAAGGCTAACTTAATCATTGGAAATCTTAGCAATGTTAACGATTTTTACATAAATCATATTAAGCAAATAATAATAATAATAATAATTGAATAATGATAATGAATAATTGTCAACAATTTTTATAAGCGAAACAAACGTAGTAAACAACTCCAATGGACGTTACTATCGCCAGTACTCGATTGTCGGTTACCGATCACTCTTAGAACGATCAATCTGTTAATGGATACATTAATGTGATATCCATATTTTGTAAACATATAACGTTAGGCTTTTGTACCATAAAAAAATTTTTCCGGACGTAAAGTACACCTCGACTTCTTTCTAGGGCGAATCCCACTGGCCTGGTCACTCTCGGCTATGATTTCGCAGGCTATTACATACTGTTACATCGAAGCGACTTTGCGTCCACAAACTGGTCACTCGCTCGACTAGTTATACTCGTAAGGTACGCTTACAGTACTAACAAGTAACGAAAAACACGTTCTTAGATCAATCGTAACGATTATCGTTTTCTCGGAAACATCAAACATTAGACATTTATTAATTAATTTCATAAACACATCGTAATGCATCAGAGATAGCTTAGAGTTAAGTAATTAAAAAAGAATAAAAAGGAAACCTATTTAAAAATCAAGAACACAAAACTTTACTGTTCATCATTCTCATTCTTTGTTTTTTTTTTCAAGATTTCATTTAATTTATAAGTAGAGCGAAAAAATTCGAAAGTATTACAAATGAAAGCATTTCCATTCTCGTCACGTTATAACAATCGATTTGTTGTAACGTTCACAAACGCAAACAATGAACGCTTCTTTGGATACGAACTGATCGAATTCGTAAGTTGTGCCATAAATCGTGATTGTAATTTAAACGTTAAACATGAGCATGCATTTTTGTTGTAAAATTAATCAATGTCTCCCTCGTAACGTGCAGTCACTTTAACGCGTCTCCTCATTCAACCCACTTTCTTTTCGTTTGAATGAATGAATACATTTGTTTATTTATCGTAATCAAATGGAATTATTTTTCAAGATTCTAAATCACGATTTATAGTCAGCATGCTCTTCATAAAATTGAAAATAATATTATAATTAAGATTAATAAGAGAAGTTTCTGTTACAGAATTTGGCAAAGGGTCGATATGACGAGGAAGACTCTTGTGCTATTGCTCGGTCTACTCGTTTTAAAACGATCGTATTCCAGTTCTGGAAACGAGTACGGCGATGGCAATCATCATCGACAAAAAAGAGTCCTTTGGATAACGAATGACGGTCGGATAGCTTTACCACCTGGCACAGTAATGACGATTACACCTACGTTGGCACTACCCTTCGTTAGATATCCACCTTACGGCTTTTTGAGCAATATGACTATTAGTCTTCCCTTTACGAGTAAGTAAAAACTTTTTATAGATCATGATATAAACCGTTAATAAGTCAAAACGATTAACTATATTATTTGAATTTTTTTAAATTTTACTATCGAAGCACTTGATTGGTGCTTAATTTTTTATATATATTTAAAATAAATGTCCTTGATAATCACGTTCAACAATACTAAATGACAAGAGCTTTGTATGGAGCAGTTGATTAATAAATAATTTATTACTTAATTATTAATTATTATTAATTTAAAATTAATAATAATTTTATACGTTACAGATGTAAAATAAAAGCTACATCTATAATAATATATTTTACAATATATGTTCGAATATAGATATATTTTATAAGAAATAATGCATATAAATTTATCAATTTTCTCAATTTTTTGTTTTCTTAATTATATCACTTTGACAAATGAACAACTTATATGACATGTACATATGCTAGAATGGATTACATTTCCTTTATTTTACAGTCGACTTCGATAAATTAGGCCTAACAGATAATGAAAATCCTTATGGTGCTTTACCACCGGCATTTGATAGAAGTGCCCGCGGTCGAAAAGCTGGCATGATCATGGCAGATTTCATAGCTGCCTTCATAAAACGAAGACTTCACAAAAGAGACACTATAGAAGTACCAAAAGATGCGTTCCACGGTGGTGAAAGAGCCCTCCTTTACGGCACAGCCGAGGATATGTTAAGCACTTTGGGTTTAAACGGAAAGGCTTGCCTATTGCGAGCGATTTGTGAAGTTCACGGTCATCCTCTCAACAATTTCGGCTTAATCGGCGAAATGTTGAAACTATTTCTCACGTAAGATCGCTTTTCTATCTATCGATCAACTTTTTCTTTATCTAACGAACGTTTTTTCATTTTTTAGGGCTAGTAAGTCGCCATTTGCAAATATTCTCAACGAATATGTGGAAGCTGAAAATAGAGGGAAATTACACGGAGAGTGTTGGCCGTATTTCAAAGATTGTCCTAAATCGTTGTTCCTGCCCTCTATTAATAAGTATACGTTAGTTAATGATCAAATCGATTAATCAAAATAACATTAATTTTATATTGTTTATATATACTATTTATATTATATACTACGCATATTCTATTACATGTTATAGGAAAGATCCCGTTCATGAAAACGATGATACAGAAAGTGACGATAAGTGGAATCAAATTTCGAGAGACGTCGAGGAAGATGTCGTCGAAAGGATACCGAAACAAAATTCGAAACACACGATGCATCCGTCCATGTAGTAATATTTAACAAATATAGAAAATATAGTAATACGATATATTGTATTGTAATATTGTAATATTATTATAATATTAATTTATACATAAATCGTGATAATATTTTTACCAATGTAAATTTTATAGTATATATACGTGTCTAAGAATAGTCATTTAAATTTCGATGATTTATCAATTTTAATTTCATCATTGTAATATCGCATTATATAAATAATTGCCAAATAGCGTATATATAAACTTAAAAATTATACATCATTTTTAAATCAAAACTGTATTATATATTTTATATCATACTATTTAAATATATTGGAATATATTTCATGTCATATTATTTAAAATATATTTAAATATATTTTATGTGTCATAGTATTTAAAATATATTGAAAAGTGTTTTATGTCATACTATTTAAAATATGTTAATATTTTACGTCATACTTTTAATATAATAAAAATATAAGTATTATAATCTTTAAAAAAAAATTAATCGAAATAATGCTATTTTAAATCTAATAATCGATATCTTTAAATCTTTTAATCGATATAATATATATAGATCAAATATCATTTACAACATGGATCAGTAATGTATAAGTATCACAAGCATGAGATAAGTTAAAAAGGTCATTAAATCTTTTATTATCAACAATGATTATATAGTTATCCATCATCGCACGCTCGTTGTATCTTACCAATGATTTTAGTCATCCATTAAAATTTTGCATTGATTCATAATTTTGGTTATATTACATCTGGAACTTGACGCAACTTGAATAAGAAACCAATAATCTAACGTTATATGACGTAACAGAGTACCGCTCTGAAGTATACGTGAAGTATACGTTCGATTCGTGATAAAAAACACGAATATGTTCTCATTTGTGAAGTGCACGCTTGCGTTTTAACTCCCCGTATAACGGCAACTATTTAGCTGACGTAGCGAAAGGATTAATACAATTTTCTCTGTATATTCACCTCTATAAAAGATTACAAACATATTATATAATTCATTGTAACATATTATATGTCGATTACATTAAGATTTAACGCCATAGGTTACTCTATTTATAGAGAGTCTTACACTTTTTTTCTAATTCACCACAGTAATTGGTTAATTTTTTTACATATATCTACAGGTAGACCAAATGCCTTTTATTTAATTGTTTCTTTTATCCGTGATACGTAAATAAAAAAAATAAATAAAAATTGTTTACTTCTATTTAAATTATATAAATTAACAATGGCTATTTGTTGTTTTTTTAATAATAAACTAATAAACATAATCGTCGTTTTTTTAATCAGGGTAAAGGTCGATATTTGCATAATATCGATATATATTATAAATATATTTCTGTCGAATTTGATGAAAATAGTATGAATATGATTATTAATTTTTTTTTAAATAATACGTTTATTATATAACATTATAATCCAATTTAATTAATTTCTGAAATAATATTGAATATTAATTGACGCTAATATAATAGTAAATGAGCAGTGACAATGACGTCAAAGTGTGGTGGTAGGGTAGGTGGACACAAGCCAGGAAGAACAAGAACTTACTCAGTATCAAAATGTACGTTTTAGTGGGTGAACATGGAGTCAAAAGAATACGCGCATTGCGTGCAGTTGATACTTGATCGAGTAAATAATACATTAATAGTAGAAAAAGAAAGTAGTTATAAATGTTTCTTAGAAAACATTAATAATTATTTCCAATGTGACTCATTACCTTATCGTTGTCGTACTCGTTTCAGAAGACAGATATGAAGAGGAGAAATAGATATCGCTAGAAGCGATATATTATATTATTATTAGTGTAGGAAACATCAATTCTCTTCGTTCGATTAATAAGTTTCAATCGAAATGCATAAATTTCTTTGATGATTATAAGACATAATCATCAAAGATCATTTTTATAACCGTCAACAATTTCAGCAAATCCAGAAACTATCGAAATCACTAGATTTAGTGATACATTTGCCAACACAGCAACCTTGTTCATATCATAACCGACAAATTTCGAAAAACGTAAACTTTAGACGATTAAATCATATAAAGATGGCTTGTGAAGCATGCAAAACAAAATTTAATTTATTTAAACGAAGAGTAAGTATCTATTATGAAGAGAAATACATAGAAATTAATTTTGATTAAAATACAATTAATGATTGTGTCATTATATAATTTCAAAAATGCTAATGTTTTGCTAATGTTTTTGCTTGATATATTTCTTCTTTTCCATGTGTCACTTTCATATAAAAAAATTAACTTCACACTGTCATACTAATTTTTACATTTTAGAAACAATGTACGGGCTGTCTAAGGTATTTTTGTTCCGAGTGCCTTATAAAGCGTATTGACAAAACATTTAATTGCGAAAATTGTGGTATGCTATCACGAAGACCACTTATTCGTAGTCAGATTATGCAAATGCGTTCTAGAGATTTACGCCAATATCTTATAGCAAAAAAAGTATCAATCAAAGGATGCGTAGGTATGTATTAAATATAATAAATGTTTAATATATACAAATATTGATCTTTATGTATACTATATGTATTGTTTTTATGTATATAAAAATTTATTATTATTATTATCATAGAAAAAGAAGACTTAGTAAATTTACTATTGATATATGCAAATGGTTCAGCAGATAATTTAGTAGATGAAAGGAATTCTACAATAAAGCCAAGTACCCTAACAGAAGAACTACCGTATGTATCATATTTTTAAACCATATTTTTGGAGTGAAAAGATATATATATATATTAATAAATTATTCTATATATTATTAATAATTTATTTATTATTGATAGTCAAACAAGTTCTGCGAGTAGTACATTACCTGAAACATCAATACAATTAGAAAATCATACAAATGCAATGAATGAGGAAAGAAACACAGAACACATAGAGTTGGAATCAGAATGTGTAACAGTTAATAATATAGAAATAGAAGAAGCATCGGCAGGCGATTGTAGTCCAGATAGTGGACCAGAGCCTTTAATTACCGAACAAGATGAAGATTCAGAAACATTAGATATAAAACAATCAGATATGTTAACAGAAATTCCTGTGGTATGTTTTACTAATTTATATATTACATTTGTTTATTTATGTCTAATATTAAGATTGAAAACCATTTTGTTGAAACAGTGGTCAGGTCTTGTCAAGCTAACAGATATAAATGAATTATCACAATTGGAACACTTAAGTGTAAAACAATTAAAAACTCTTTTAATAACAAATCGTGTTGACTTTAAAGGTTGTGTTGAAAGGTGTGAATTGTTGGACAGAGCATCTAGATTATGGGAAGAACATAATCAAGCAAGAGCAGGTAATATTTAATATATTTGCAATTAAAAAATATATGAAACATTGAAATAAACAATAATAAACAAAAATGTATTCATAGATATAGATAATATGGATAAAGAAGATATTTGTAAAATTTGCTGGGATGCGCCTATAGAATGTGTCATTTTAGAATGTGGTCATATGGCATGTTGTATTAATTGTGGGAAACGAATGTCCGAATGTCCCATATGTAAACAGTATGTTGTTCGAGTTGTGCGATTTTTTAAAGCTTGATAAAGGAAGTAATTTTAATAACTAAACTTATGGCATTTAAATTTTTGAATATACAAAAAAGAGTAAATAGAAAAAAATATCTAGAATTACTCTATTTGCTTTACAATTAATTTATTAGTGAAGAATCGAAATAGAATTTCAAACATTAATGTATGCCTTCGAAAAATGAATATTTTAAAATCTAATACATATACTCAGAAAATATTACATTAAAAACAGTATTGAACGTTCTATTTCTACAAATGAGTATTTGTAACAACTATTTCATATATATTAAAGATATAATTACTGTATAACTGCATATATTAAAAACAACAGCGGATTCCATATTATTAGAAAGTATATTCAGTAATCATTATATATCATTAAGAAAATTATATTGCATTATATATATATTACTAAATCTTTATAAGAATTAGATCTCAATGGTTGTAAGAACGTTTGTAAAAAAGCTGTGATATTCCCATATTATCACAAGTAGATAGATAGCTATGTATAGGTTAAATGTACAAAATATATTCTTTAAATATTAGGTACCATATGTACCAAATTCGAGAATGTGATATATAGAATTTCCAGAGAAGGAAATCATCATCACTTATTACCTCTAAAATATACATGCAAAATATTCTGTTTATTTGCTCAATATTTAGAAAAAAATACAGATAATTTTTTATGTCTTTTAATATTTTTTAAACATAATAGTAGTTTTTATCATTAACACAATAAATGAATGTATTTTTTCATAGAACAAATTACTTGATTCTACATAAAAAATAATGTACATATTAATTAATAGAAAAAAATAGATTTGAAAATGTATTATGCCAAAATATCTGTAAATAATATCAATGTTAAAATATTATATCGAAGAAATTATAAAATTTAAATATTTCAAATACAAGAAATAAACAATATTGCTGGTTCGTGCTTTATAAAAAATGTAAAAAAAATGTTAGAAAATTCTCTTTTTTCCTTAACATGATTTAAATCAAAATTTGATTATATCAAATAGAACTAGTAAACAAACCCAAGAGTACTTAGTTATATATTTATCGTAAAAGTATAAGTCGTTTATATATATATTTGTGTATTTCTTTTCATTAGATTCTCTAATGACCAATGGTGATCAAGAATGATTATATAAGTTACTTATTTGTAGCATTTCAATGGCTATATGTTTAATGAAATGTTAGTGATTGGTATACTCTTTTAAATCACAATAACGAATATATTCGTAGATTTGAAATATGCCTTAATTCTCTGCAATTACGATTTGCTCGTTTCTTAGAATGAAAATAACTTTATTCGATTAATTTCAATGCGATAATAATACATACAATATATATATATATATTTTTACTAACTACAAATCTGATTCTAATATTAAAACATTTTTCATTTGACATAAAATTAAGTGAATCGTAAAATAAAGTGACCATTATATAAATCGTATATATATTTTTAACTATTCATTATTAAAATAGTATCACTGATATACATATATACATATATATATATATAAAACAGCCTTTTTAAAATAATTTCTATAACGACACGTAAGTAGTCCATTTATCAATATCAATGTTATTCGAAAAAAATTTATATCGCGCGCGGTTGAACTTGAATCACGTTGTACCGGCATATTCTCCTCCTATCAAAATTAATGCAGCACTAGTAAACGTGACCGAGAGCTGCTTTTACTTATACAGTAGTACGTTGTCGAAGTTAGGAGACGGAGAATTGCTCATTATTTTCTTCAAAACTTGAGTAGACTCATTTGTTTTATATATTAATTTTTTATTAATCACGTATATGGCTTCAATCGAAGAAATAGACCAGCTGGATAGCGGTATGGGTAGCAGCGACGCACGCTCTCCAGAAGTGAAATCTCTTCTTCCCGACGAAGAAGATGACGAAGAGGTATTTATTTTTTGCTATTTATCTATGATATTTAATTTAAAAAATAATCTCATATAAGCTATTATAATCACATTCAATATTTTCTATCAAAGATTCTAGTTTAAGTCTGTTTAATAATCTTATATTTTTAATATAAATTTATAATGATATTTAATTTATAATGATAATAATATTATATAAAATAGTATATTATATTAATTTAGAAGATTTGAATACATCTACTATACAACATCAATGATTTCATTTTATTTAGGATGAAAGTTTTTCGGAAAGATTATTAGGACTTACAGAAATGTTTCCCGAAAATGTTCGCAAAGTTGGATATAATGTTGGATCTGGTCTATGTACTTGCGTCAAAGGTTTGTCATAAATGTAACATAAATTTTAATATTGGTTATTATCGGTTGATTCATATGAGAAGTTTGACTTAAAATTTGCAATTCAATTTCAGGTTTATATACATTTTCATGTTCAGCAACATGGCTCTTGTTCAGTTCGTCTGCTATTTTGTTTGCACCTGTATTCTTTGAAGTAGAACGTGCTCAAATGGAAGAAGTTCAGCGTGCACAACAAAAACAGGTTCTTTTAGGACCAAATTCTGCCATCTCTAATGTTAGTGCGCCTGGTCTTCCAATGGCTCCCCCTGTGCAGCGATAAATAATTATATAATTTATCATTAAAGTAATCGTGCATTCAACTATTTATCAACATAATAGTATCATTAATTGCAAATACCATAAAAATATATTGACCAAACATGTAAATTAACTGTATATCTTATATTTTAAATTCTTAAGCTCTAAATTCCATAATTGCATTTGTTTAGTTACATATTTAGAAAATTGTGTAAAACTGTGTGTAGTTCAGTTTCTGGACTAGTGCAATGATAATGTATAAACATTTTATCTTCAAATGTAATTTTTAATACATAATGATAGAGTGAAGGATTTGAACGTTTCATCGTATTTTTTATTCATCTTGCATTTTCAAATAAACTATAAATGGTAACATTTAATGATAAAGCACCGTCACAGATATCATGAGATAAAGATCAAATTGTCATGTATAAATATTTACAAATATGGTTATAAGCTGTACTTTATTCATAAGAAGTGGATCATAATGCATTGTTGTTATCTTTAATGTATCATATGTTATTGTAATATATAAAATAAAAATAAAATTATAACATTAAACTTTCTTTCTAATTTAATACAAGATTTGATTGTATTCACTGAAAAAAGTCCTTTACGAAAAGAAAAAGATATAATAACAATGATTAATATTTACTGGAAATTTCATAAATATAAAAAACAATGTTACTTCCAGAAAAGATACTTTTTATGACCTACTTTACTTATAATTATTAAAATAATAAAAATACATTGAGATGAATGTAGATATATATTTATTTGAATGTATGTGATATCTGAATTGATATCTTGAACTGATATCTTTGAATTTAAATAAAAAAATTAATATAAAAGAAAACAATTTTTAATTTTATTAAAAATCCTGTTTACTTAACTTTCAGTTTCAATCGTTGTATATATTTAACTATATTTTTCTAATTATGATCATTGAAAAGAGTCGCCAATTCCTTCAAAAATATTTGACAACTATTTTGTATATTATTGACAAAAAACGTCTTAAATTTATGAAGTATGTAATTTTTTAATAATATTCGAATTATTTAATTTTACTTGGTAACTATAATATTTACTTCGAATTTTTCGCAGTGGACTTCAGTCGATTGCGAAGTCGCTACAGGGATTAAAAGATGAATCAGGCTAATATCGAAAAATTAGTTTCTACATTAAGGTACAATGTAAAACCAAGACGTAAATTAAAAAACGTAGATGGTCCAATAGGAAGAATTCGGAAAATTCAAAAAACATTGACGGCATTATTAAAATATGAAAGACTCGAATTAAATTATAACCGAGCTGATGAAACAAGAGGTTATGTTGAACGCGTATGTGTCTTTCTCATTTATGTTTTATATTAATTCTGCTTTATATATTTTTTTTTTATAACATATTTAACATAATATTTTCCAAAAATGAATTTAGCATATATAATTAAAGTAATGTTTTGTATATTGTACATAGTTGATATCAGAAGCAATTCGTTATGGCCCAGATCACAAAGAAACAATGCAAGTAGCTGATTTCTGGATTCTTGAAAAACAACTTGTACATAAACTTTTTAAAGTTCTTGCGCCAAAGTACAAGGACTACACAATTTCTTTTACAAAACTTCATAAAGCACCGTACATATATCCTGACAATATTTACAAAAGAGCTGTTTTAGAACTTAGAGGTAATTTTAATTTTTATAATTTTATTTATTAATTCTAATAATTCTTCTTCATAAAAGTATAATTTTCAAAAAATAGGAAATATATATCCAAGCATAGAACAAAGTAATCCAAACGAACATAATTTACTCCACAATATCTTGCTTAGTGCAGCAAGAAAAGAATTTAGAATGGAAAAATATAAAGAAATTGCTGATAATATAACTAAATAAAGACAATATAAATAAATAATGAAGGCATATAAATATATTGGTTTTGTCTTTAAAAAATTAGTCTCTATAATTGATATAATTAAATTGTAATTATGAATGTGAAATAATATTTTGCATTTCATATAACCACTATACTACAATATACTATAACTGTATTATAATAATTATTATTTATTTTATTTCATATTAAAACTATTACCTATCAATTTTCTAATATTACCAAAACAGCAAATTTCATATTTGTTATTATTATTATTTTTATTGCATGTGATTAAAATATACTAAGACATAAAAATATATATTTTTAAGAAATGAATTATTATCATTATTTAATTAAAAAGTTATTTATGATTGAAATGTTTTCAATGGATAATGCTCATAATATGTCGCGAGATGTTCTTCCATGGAATACATTTGATCTCTGAAATATAAAATATAAACAAGTAAAATTTCAAGGAGAAACATATATCAGAAAAATTTGATATTTTTAAATAATTATTTCTTATTCTTTCTATTTAATATATGCTATGCAATAGGTTATACCTTATATGATCTGGCATTTTAAAGTAAGTGTCTGTAAACATTTCCTTCCAATGAGGTTTAGGTTTTTTCTCTGCTTCAATAAAAGCATCTAAAATTTCTTTCTTTATAATTATTTTCAAATTATCTTCCTGTTCTTTACTCCAAATACCTAAGGACTGTATGTATTGTTTAAATCTTCGAATTGGTGCAACATCATTCCAAAGAGCAATTTCTTTGCTAGTTCTATATAATGTACCATCATCAGATGTACTATGAGGACCAGTACTAAAGAAAAAAAAATATTGAATATTTTATACATTTATAATTATTAGAATGAATTACTAGTAAATATATGATTTTTTTTAAACCGATAAGTCATTGCTTCTATTAAGACAGGCTTTCCTTCACTTATGCAAAACTGACGAGCAGCCTTTGTCGCATAGTGTACAGCAAGTACATCATTCCCATCTACTCGAATTGTATTAATTCCATAACTTGGTCCTTTTGCTGCAATACCATCTCCTTTAAATTGTTCATGTGCAGGTGTTGAGATAGCATAACCATTGTTACGACTTAATTAAATATATATATATATTGAGTATATTGTATAATTTTGAGTAAAGTTATTGAAATTAAATGATTATTAATTTTAGTACTTACCACAAAAATATTATTGGGCATGATAAAGTAGCAGCAAAATTAAAAGCTGCATGAGCATCTCCTTCACTGGCTGCACCTTCCCCAAAGTAACACATTACACATGCTTGTCTTTTTTCCCTTTTATATGCATATGCTGCACCTACAGCTATATATGATTTAATATTATAAAATATTAATGATATAGATTTACGAAATTAATTATTAATTAATTTAATTAAAAATTAAATTAATAATTAATATTAATACGATTAAACACCTTGTGGCAACTGAGTTGTTAATGGAGATGATATGGTTATAAAATTTAAATCTTTTGATCCATAATGACAAGGCATTTGTCTTCCTTTTCCTTCATCTTCAATATTACCATAACATTGATTCATAAATTTAGAGATATGAAAGCCACGCCAAAGTAATACTCCTGTAAATTTTTCTAAGTTATATACTCAAATAAAATAAATATTTTTAAAATATAAATAAAACTGTTATTATTAGTTACAAAAATTCTTGCCTGCTTCTCGATATTGTGCATAAATTGTATCTTCTAACATTAATGCAGAGGCTGAACCAATTTGAACAGCTTCTTCTCCAATATTTGTCATATAAAAGGATATACGACCTTGTCGTTGTGATTCATACAGAATTTTATCCATCATATTAAGTGTCATCATATCACGATAAATTTTAATCTTCGTTTTATCATCTAATTTTAACTATAAAAAGAAAATTTCTTATTATAATCTTATAATTTATATTTTAATTATTTTATCTTATACTATGAAACTATAAATTTTAATTGTAACAGAAAAACCTTAGGAAAAAACATTTATATATATCGATATTTATACATATATATATATTATTAAAAAAACCTTATTTTCTTCAAGAAAATGTGTTTGTCCAGCAGGATCTAGGATTCTATATATAGGAATAGATTCATAATTTTCTGCGTTAATAAACTTCAGATGATTTGTAAAAATGTTTTTGATTCCAATATATTGTGGCTCAGTTACATTAGTGGCATAACAATAATGTCTTATCTAAAATTATATAATTTTATATTATTTTATAAATAATATTAAAAGATTTTTATCTAACTTGATAATCTTACTGATATTTGCCATCTCACGGAAGATAAACGTGATATACTTTTAAATAAATTATATATAACCATTATGACTAAATAAAAGTCGACTTACTAAGCTTAACTAAAATATTAAACTCAATGTAATCATTGTAAGGAACTTGTTATCGTTACGTTAATTAACGTTATGATAACCATGTATGTTCGTCATCATCCATAGGCGTAAACAAGTCAGAATCTTTATTAAAGAATATAATGAAAAAGAAAATTTTAAAGACTTAATATAATAGATCAATGATTGATAAAAATAATATTGTAATGTTCCAACCAAATAATTGTTTTTAAAAAAGAAACCCTTTTTTTTGTAGTCTTAAATTAGTGTCATTTTTTATAAAGAATATATGTAAATACATAACATTAATTTTGCTAATTCATTTAAAATGTAAAGAAATTCTTATATATATACATTTCTAATATTTTAAGCTAAATAAATTGACGATTGACGTCATAAAATAAAACAAAACATTCTTTCACATATTTTATTTTTTTCATTATTATATATTTTTTAATTTTATATTTTTTATTATTTTTGTTATTTTTTTTTTTATTATTCTTTTTTATTATTCTTTTATTTAAGTCACAATTATTTTTTTATTATATTGTTAACTTATAAAAATATCTATAGATAGCAGTACGGTCAAGAAGTCAAAATTATCATAAATAGGAGATTATCTATTATGAATTATTTCAAAGTTCTTTATTATCTTTCAATATTTAAAGGAAATAAGAACAAGTTCTATTAATAATAAGAAGGACAAATTATGTAAATATATTCAAATAGGTTAAAGTTTAATTCAAAATTCTTCTTTTTTCTGTTATAATATATATATGTTTTTTATTATTGGTAAAACAAAAAATATTGTATAAACTTTGTATTCGTAATTTATTATTATATATGATCGTTATACTATATATTATACTATATAATATATGATCGTTCATTATATAGTATACTAAGAGGAAAGAATAAAATCAGATTATTAAATTATTTTAAATACATATAAAAAGTAAAAATATAAATCGTATTTTTCTTTCTTCTTCTATACTATATATTCTTCATACTATATATTTTTCTATATTTTTATATATATTTTTTTATATTTAACATTTTACACTGTATTTATACGATCATATTCATTATCGTGATATTGATAAATTTTATAGGAAATACGTGTACATTTATAACCTGCTTATATAAATTTTGTAGCAATGAAATTCTTTGTATTACATTGAAGACTATGAAAGTTAGAAGAAGTAAAAAAGAGGAAATTAATTTACGAATTCTTAATATTTAATTAAATTATAATTTAAATAAAATTAAAATTAGAATATATTTATTTTGCCATTTATTAATATGTTATACAAAACAGTTATACATTATATAACATTGTTAGTTTTTAAATTAATTTAAAAATTACTTTTAAAATTAATTTTGCAAATTGATTTATTTTTTAAATTTATACACAGATTTTTAAACTGATTATAATACCATTTTGATAAATCTTTATATTTGTATATTTCTTATAAAAAGCTATGAAAACATTTTATGTATTAGTATAAAATACTATCTTGTAATTAACTTAGATTCAATATTCTTTTGATAATTGCAGCTAATAAAAAATGACAGACAAATGTGATGCTGGACCAAGTAAACTTGGTATAGGCAGAGGTACTTTGGTTTTACAAAAGATAAGAAAACAATTGGTAGAAAATGAATCTAAAATTCTAGATAAATCTAGTTTTACATACCAGCAACAGTCAATTTCACAATTACAAGCATTTAATACTACTTTACCTTTTATGGGACGTGGAAAAGCTTTATTATTGAACTTCACAAAAACTGAAAAAGAAAAAGAAAAATCACCATTTTTTGAGCTTCTTCCTACCATAGGTAAAGGAAGAGCATCTCCTTTAAGTTTATTTAAAAAAACTACGTAAGTCTTCTTTAATTAATAAGATTAGGAAGAGTGAGTGAGTAAGTGAGTGAGTGAATGGGGGGGAAGAGAGAAAAACTATAATTATATTATATGCATATATATTGACATGTGTATAGAACATCTGGACAACCTTTAATGATAGAACAAGAGACTAGTACAGGAGAATCTTTCATAGAAAAACAACAAAGTAATGTAAGACAACCTGTAATAGTACAAGAGAAAATAGCCTCTTCTAATAATAATGCTGGAATATTAGACAAGTTGTCTCAACTTTCTATATATGAGACCACTCCTGCAACTGCTACTCCAAGCGAAGAATTACAAGTAATAAACCGTCAAGGTACAAGTGGAAAAGTGTAAGTATTTTTTAATATTTGATTTATTATTTAAATGTTGTCACATTATCAAAAAATCTACATTAATAAAGGTACTAATCATTATCTTTTACAAAGTATTATATTTTATGTTTAGGGTAGATTTATTTGCTAATTACATCGATTTAAAACTAGATACAGGAAGGGGATTATTTCAATATGAAGTTAAATTCAATCCTGATATTGATTCAAGAGCTCTGAGAAGAAAACTTTTGAATCAGCATGCAGCTAAACTTGGATACACTTTAAGTTTTGATGGAGTTCTTCTATACTTGCCTCAAAAATTTCCACAAGAGGTAAAATTTATTAAAAATTACAATTTCAGATATAATAGTATAAATAAAATGTGAAAATACTTTCAGAACATAGTGTACAAATCTGATCATCCACTAGATGGATCTCCAGTGATCCTTACACTTATTTTTAAAAAGAAAGAAAAGATGAGTGAAAGTATCCAATTCTTTAATATTCTTTTTGGACGTATTATGAGAGCTCTTAATTTTGTTCGTATCGGTAGACAAAATTTTAATCCTGCATGTGCTCATACTGTACCACAGCACCAATTAGAAATTTGGCCTGGATATATTACAGCTATTAATGAATATGAAGGTGGATTAAAACTTTGCATTGATGCAAAACATCGAGTTATGCGTATGGAAACAGTTCGAGATTTGATGTAAGAACATATATATATATTATATTATATATATATATATATATATATATATATATAAACAGATACACACATGTTTACAGAATGTTAGAATAAATTGCTATAAATATATATTTAAAAATATTTTATTACAAATACAATATTAAAAGCAAATATAAATAATACTGTTTTGCTATTAAGTTGCAATTTTCTTGTAGTTTCCAAATATTTTTAAATATATATTTATAGGAAATTTTTAATTTTTATTTATTTTATATATTAAACTTTCTCATAAATACTATAAATGTAGTTTCATAAAGACTGTATATATACGTAATATTCACATAATGTAAAAAACATTAATGGAAAAACATGACAAATATTTATTTTTTAGAATTGAATTTCATGAAAAAAACCAAGAGCATTATAAAGATTATATAACAATGGAAGTTGTTGGGTCTAGTGTTCTAACTCGATATAATAATAAGACCTATCGTATCGATGACATTGCATGGGACAAAAATCCAATGTTTGAATTTGAAAGACAAGGTATGAAAACGACTATGATAGATTATTATAAAAATCATTGGAGTTTAGAAATTAAAGATAAAAACCAGCCACTTTTAGTACACCGTTCTAATGAAAAATTACCTACTGGGCAGGTACATATACTTTTCGTTTATTAGATATTTTATATTCTTTGCTGTTACAATAATTGCAAGTATAAGAAAATTGGAAAATAAAGGGAATTTTTTTCAGACACACGAAAAACTCACACTTTTAGTACCTGAATTATGTTACATCGCTGGATTAACGGATAGTATCAGATCAGATTGTAAAATTATGAAAGATCTTAATACAATTACGAAAGTTTCTCCTAACAATCGCCGTGATATAATAAGGAATTTTTTACATGAAATAAAAAAAAACAGCGTAACACAGGAAATACTATCTGCATGGGGTTTACATATTGATGATGATTTAACTCATTTGAAAGGACGTGTTCTAATGCCTGAACATATATATTTTGGTAAAAATAAGATGATACAGGGAAAATCAAATGCTGAGTGGCATATTGAAATGATTAATAATCATGCTTTACGTGCTGTAAGTACAATTGCCACAACTTCATTACAACATAATTTTCTGCAAAATTTCTAATAAAAAAAAATTATTTCAGCCGAATTTGAAAAATTGGTATATTTTTTATTCTCAACGAGATACAAAATACGCTACAGCATTTATCAAAACGCTCCTTAATATTTCATTAAATTTAGGCCTACAAATTAGCATTCCCCATGAAGTTTCTTTAAAAGATGATAGAACTGATACATACTTGCGTAAACTTCGTTACATCATTAATGATGATGTTGAAATGGTGGTTATTGTTTTCCCCACCAATCGAACTGATCGTTATTCTGCAGTTAAAAAGTAAGAAGTTTTTCACAAATTTTTTATGATTGAAATGTTATTATCAATGCTAATAGAACTAAAGTATTAATATTGATATAGGTTTTGTTGCGTAGAAAAACCTATTCCATCGCAAGTTATAATGTCAAGGAGTCTTTCTCGTCCTGATAAATTGAGAAGTATAACACAGAAAATAGCTTTACAAATGAATTGTAAACTAGGCGGTGCTCTTTGGGCAGTGAACATTCCATTTGTATGTGTACATATAGGATATTTTAAATATATTTAAAGAATTATGCGTAAATAGTAAAATATTTTACAGGATAAATGTATGGTATGTGGAATAGACGTATATCATCCTGGTTTAGGAGAAGGAAGACGAGGCAGTGTAGCTGGATTTGTAGCTAGTATGGATAAATTATTAACATCGTGGTACAGTAAGATCTGTTTACAAGGAGCACACCAAGAAATAATAGATTTATTACAGATCTGCTTAATTTCTGCTATTAATGCGTTTAAAAAAGTAATGCATATATATACATGTGTGTATGTGTATGTGTATATATATATATATATATATATATATATATATATATATATATATATATATATATATATATATATATATATATATATATATTGCATGCACTTAGTATCTAATATAAAAAGCAACTTTTAATTTATATCTTGAACTTTTTTCTATATTCTCATATATATATTATATATAAGTTATTATATTTATTTATTTTTATAATATTAGAAGATGATTTCATGAAAACCATTATTTCAGCACAATGGAAGTAATCCAAATCGTATAATTGTTTATCGTGATGGCGTTGGTGATGGACAAATTGACACTATTGCCAAATATGAAGTTAAACAATTGTTGGCAACATTCACACATATAGATCCTGATTACAAACCACAACTTAGTGTAATTGTTGTACAAAAGCGAATTAATACTCGTTTATTTTGTGAGAATGTGAGTACCAAAATAACTGTAATGTTGTGAAAATAGTTTCATGACTTATAACTAATTAGAGTATTGTGTAATTTTCTCAAAATTTCCAGCAAGGAAATTTAATCAATCCTGCATCTGGAACTATCATTGATTTTTCTATAACAAGACCTAATTTTTACGATTTTTTCCTTATACCTCAAAGTATACGTGCTGGCACAGTAACTCCAACGCATTATATCGTTGCTTATGATGGATCAAATATGAAACCTGATCATATACAACGTTTTACATATAAACTTTGTCATTTATATTACAATTGGCCTGGTACCATAAGAGTGCCTGCTCCATGTCAATATGCTCATAAACTTGTATCACTCGTTGGACAAAATATTCAAATGGAACCAGATTTAAGTTTATGCAACTATCTCTTTTATTTGTAATTCATGCATAATCAATTAATATATAGTTTATTTTTTCATTTGACATAAACAGTATTTTTTACACAATATAGATTATTTTATATTGTTAGATTCTACATTGTTGGTAAAATTTAAAAGACTGCAAAAAAAAAACTAAACTTAAGAGAAGAATTAAAGAGTACAATTTATTTTTATACATTAAAATAGTATTATATTTTTATATATATTACTCTTTAACAACGGTTATTATGTCAGAATTATTATCGTGACTGATGTGTCATTCGTAGATGTATTATAAATAGTATTATTTTTTTTTGCCGTAGTATCTTTATAAATCAGTTTTGAAAAAAGCTTTTAAAGTTTTTGATTTGTTAAAACTCATATTTTTTGCAATAACATATAACAAAAGAAAGCAGTAACGTTCAAAATACTAATTTTATACCCTTTAAATATTAATGCATTGATGATTTTCTTTATAGCTTGTGATAGAGCTTTTTAAGGTGAAACAAACGGTATGAATAACGGTTGGAATATCAAAAAATCACAGATAGTGCTTTTTTAAACGTACGGCAGTATTGTCTAAAAATAGTAAAACTAGTAGAATACTATTGTAATGTTATAAAATTACTGATAATTGTTAAGGATTTATTGATTTGATTTATATATATATATTTTTTGTATGTGTATATACATATATATTTATATTTTTTTTGTATATGTATATACATATATATATGAATAAATAGGCATGTTAAATAAATTTCAACTCTTACATAATTTATCCAAAAATAATATTGATTATTGAATTATTTACATTCGAGTGCCATCATATATAAACAATACTTACAGTTTATTTTCAAAGAAATAATTTAGTTGTTATAAATTGTTATTAAAAAATAGAAAAAGAAATTATATTTGTGTATTAAAATAATGTTATTTGGTACATACTCATTAGTATCGTGGTAGTATGCAAATATAATATTTTATAAAAAATTGCTTAGAGTGATTTGCTATAATTGTTAAATAAATATATTAAATGCAAGAGGTTAACATCCCATATCTAATCAAAAAAACATGCTCATATCAAAGATGTTTATTGCATAATTCTGTCACAAGATGGCATGGAATACATTGCGTCGTGTCGTGCAAAATTCATGGCGGGATGAGCGTGCTCTATCAGATACGTAAAATAGATGGTATGTATAAATGCATATATATAGTACGATAGTCGTACTGCGTATCGAGTAGTCGTTGCTGTCGACCGTCGCTACCACCACTCGACACGCTGGCGCCTGCGTACATCTTGTTTACAAGCAGCAGCAGCGCGAAGCCTCGGTGTACACATGACCTTTACAAGATGGATACGAGTGAGCATACCGTCTTTTCTCAGGCGTGTCGTTGACGAGTGCCGAGCAAACACGAGCTTCCGTGTCGCGAAAAACGATTGACAACGAGGACGATATCAATTTCGTGCCTATCTTTTTCATATATTGTATCTTCATAGCTACGTCGACGAATATTGTTGCAGTGTCACGTTCGTATGGTTCTTCGGTGATACGACATTAGCGTGGGTTACAATTGTTTTGAGTGACGTGATATTTGTGTTCTCATCGTGCGAGATTGCGCGGAGTGTGAGGGAAAGGTACAAAGTAGTGGGGAGAAGAAGAGAGAGAAAGAGAGGAAGAGGAATAAGAGGAAAAACAGATTCTTACCTCGTTGAGGCAGTAGGGTAAAGGGTGAGGGAGAAAAGAGGGAGGTATGTGTATCTGCTGCGTATATTCATCACGACGCCTTTACGTTGTTTCTTTTTCGCGATCGAACGTGGCCCCCCCCGTGACCGCGACATAACGTTTTTTTCGTTGTTGATCGCATGGTATGATTTGTGATCTTTGAAAAAAAGAAACAGCATAAATAAGAGAGACAAGAACGTGAATATAAAAGAGAAGACCACTTCGAGCACGACACGAGGACAAGGATAGAAGCAACGACAGTAGTGGCGGCGGTTTTGTTTTGACGTCGATCGTACGGTATTGCGCGTGAAAGAATATCGGCGCTGCCCTTGGCAGTAGCCTATTTGTTCGCACAAGAGCGAGCTGCATTTGTAACACGCCAGCCAGTCAGGCAGTCGGGCAACGATAAGAGGGGTTCAACCACCCACTTGCGTGTGTCGTCGCGTCATCTCTCCCTCTCTCGTTCATTTTCCTCTACTCTTTCTTTCTCTTTCTCGCTCTTTTTCTTTTTCCCTTTCTCTCTTTCTTTCTCTCTCTCTCTCTTTCTCTCTTTTTCTTTCTCTCTCACGCGCGTGTGGAACGTAGCTCTTCTCTCTTCCTATCCGTCTCTTTTCCGTATACGCCGCGGTAAACTCTGCGCGCATGTGTATGCGTTTGTTGCGTCGATGCAACACCGAGTCTTCGTTCCGTTTCTCTCTCTGTTTCTTTCTCTTTTACATCTTCGTATATAGGCGCGCTCGTTCACTCACTCGCAAGAGAGAGAGAGAGAGGTAAAGAGAGAGGGATGGCGCGCGATTAAAGGCTCACGCAGTAAATCGTGCGTTCGCGCGATAAACAGGTGTAGAATTCCTATGGTAAGAAGCTACTTTGCGGTTGCGCTTTACTAATAGAGACAGCAAGGAGGAAAACGGAAAAAGTAAAGAAAGAAGAAAAAAGTAAGGAAGAAAGAAAGAAAGAAAGGACGACGGCCTTTCGTAGGCGGCGCGTGAATACCTCGTAGTGTCGTCGACCCGTAACCTCCTGCGTTCCAAGATAGCATGCTGATTCCTTGGAATTTTTCGATTAAAACTTCATACGTCGTCTGACAGGTGAACTTTAGTGACATCGAGGACGAAAGAACGAAAAAGAGAGACACGGTCGTTGATTCGTGGCTTAACGCATATAAAGACGTATGTTGAAAGGCATCATATCCTAACCTCTTTCTTGCATGAGTAAAAGAGAGGGTAAGTAGTAGAAGACGACGAACGAAGTGTTATCTTCTTCCGTAGTGTCGAGCAGAGTCGTGTCGATCGTAAACTAAGTTTGCGGAAGGCGCTGGAAGGAATGGTGGGATTACAAGGGGAGGGGGATCTTTGGATGGAACGCCCTTAGCGCGCGTTGCGAGTGCACATGCACCGCGCTGCCGTGCGGCGTGCATTCGCTTATTTACCATTGACACGTGCTTACTACTATACATCGATGATGCTTTGCGTGGACTTCTTCCTAAACATTTGATTGCGTTCTTTCGAAGAAGTCAGAAAATATCGGTGTACGTGTATATGTGTACATATGGGTGACTGTATAAAATCAGTGTAGAAATCATACCAAGAGAAAAGTGTGTGAAGTTGTAACGAAGAAGGTGAAAGGTGGAGGGGAGGTTATACGAAGAGAAAGAAAGAGAGAGAGAGTGAGAGGGGGAGAGAGAGAGAGGGAAATCGAGAAAAGAAATCACGCGCGACACGAGCTCAATCGACGCGCGATAATATCGACAGTGCGCGTCATGCTCAAGAGAACGGTTTGGCCGATCCTCCTACTTTTAATCGTTACGCTTAGATCGCTAAACGACGATTCAAGAAGCGAAAAAAACACAAAAAGAAACAACGAGGACGTCGTTTTCTTAATAGACAACTTAGTGATCATTGACGTAGAAGAATTGAAGACGGAGAGCGTTTCCACCTGACGCCTGTGCTAGGGTGGGAACACTTGCTCTCTCTCTCTCTCTCGCTTGCTCTCGATAATTTTGCCTTGATCCTTAACAGTAGAGTGCATCGCCGAGCGCATTGCCGAGCGTACGATGGACTTCCGCGCGAGTTCCGAGTATTGAAGCGCGCGGTACGTTCGAGCCACGTTCGTTCGAAAGTAAAATGTAAGAGGGAGAAAGAAAGAGAGAGAGGGAGAGAGAGAGAAAGAGGGAAAAAGAGAAAGAGTGAGAGAACGATATTTACGCGCGACAGGGGAACCCGTCGCCGACTTCTTGGTTTCTCACAAGGACGGCTTTTCTGATCGTGATCGAGGCAATGTCTTCGGGCAACAGAGGTTTGGTCTCCCCCTCAGGTGGGCCAATTGTATGCTGCGGACATTTGAAAAAACTGAAAACCTTGAAGAAAAAGTATTTTGTCTTAAGGGGTGAGGCACCGGGATATCCCGCTTGTTTGGAATATTATGACAGCAAGAAGAAGTTCGAAAGCAAGCAATCGCCTAAACGCAGCATCCTGCTGCACAGCTGCTTCAATATCAACAAGCGTGTCGACACGAAGCACAAGCACGTCATAGCTTTGTATACGAAGGACGAATGCTTTTGTTTGATTCTCGACAACGAAAAAGAACTGAATGAGTGGTTGAAAGCAATGCTGCTCCTCCAGAGCGGCGATGTACCCGACGGAGAGCAGCCTCGCCCTACGTTCGGTAAAAAATCTTTTTATTTATTTGTTTACATATTTATTTATTTATTTTTTCCATACACGATTTGTATTTTGTCGTATTGCTCTGAATGTGCGCACGTTCCACGTGCGTGTGTACGTTACGAAAAGCGCGAAAATTGTGCACAAAATTACGCATCTTTATATCTGCCACTTCAAATGTTTTTGGTGATCTATCGATTTTAAGGATTATTTTTGTTTTTACGACGATGCAATTAATTTTTACGATAGTTTTTTCTGTTTATAACTCATACACGTTGGAATTATCAATAAAATTGTGTTCTTTTGTTTAAGTTTTTATCATTAATTAAATTTGATCAAAACATTTCATTATTAGTAAATAATTATAAATAAATGTATTTTCCTGAACAATATCTGAAATAATTATTTATATATAAAGTATCTAATTGATATAATCACATTAATATATCATAATTTATTTGGTTATATATCTCTATATTCTTTTTAATTTTATTATGTATTTTGTCAGAACATGTGTGGCAAGTTACTATGCAAAAGAAAGGACTTGGAGAACGAAAGAATATCAATGGACCGTACAGGTTATGTCTCACAGATCGCACGCTAAGTCTAGTAAAAATTGGAACTCAAGGCAACTCCGATTCTATTGAATTCTCTGTAAGTATCTTTAGATTGTTTAATAGATGTACCAAGTATTTTATTTGTATAACTTATTATTGCAGTCTTGATGTCTAGAATTTTTAAGAAAATTTTTAATAAATTAATGTTTTAATTTACAGTTAATCTGCATCAGGCGGTGTGGTTATATGGAACGCATTTTTTATATGGAAGTTGGTAGATCTGCAGTAACTGGAGGTGGTGAATTTTGGATGGAAGCTGAAGATAATAACATTGCGCACAACATGCACGCTGCAATATTAAATGCAATGAGTAATTCCAATACCTGTAAAGATGAGGTTGGGCCTCGACAAAGGATGCGTAGTTCCTCGGCAAATGAAGCTAGTAAACCCATCTCTGTGCTTCAACGACGGCACACAGGGCAAAAACTTCATAGCTTCTCGCCTCTAGGTAAGCAAAGTAGCAGCGTAATTGATACATATATTATCATTTAGGTAACTTTATTATACAATGTCAGTTATGGTTATTCAGTGTGGTCAGTTAATCAGCCGTGCTTCTACTCGATGTAAATATATCTAAATGGTTCAAGGTGCACCATGTCATATCTACTTTGCAGATGATTCTTCATTTGCGGGCTTGTGCACTTTAAGGATTCTTATAATGTTTTTTCTAGATACGAATGTGAAGTATCCTCTGGGATATATCATCGCTTATTTTACATTAAACCATAACTGTGCAAATTTTAAATTGTTATTTATAAAATATAAGCTGAATCACTATATGTATTCTTAAGAACTCAGCTTTAGAGTAACACAAGTGGGTTGCGGGCTTTACAGAGGAACAAAGGACGTGCAAGGAACAGGTGGATCCGTTGCAGGAACAGACCACTACTGCCTCTGCCCCCGCACAGTGTAGTCAATCTCAGAGTTCTTCTTCCAATACATTCACGGGTCTGTTCTCTGTCACAGTAGCTGTATGCTTTTCTTTATACGGGATTTGCAAATTATAAACAAAGAACGATAACGCGTATAATGTGGCACGATATTCTCTTAATATTTTCTTTTATTTCAATTCTGCTTGTATGAAACTTGTATATACAGTTTTCCAACTATACGGGTTATAACATATACGATATTTTAAAAATGATCAATCATTTGTCTAAGAAGCAACAATAGATTATTCTTTATATAATAATTGAAATCTTGATAAACACATGAAATAATAATATTCTTATTTTTGATATATATATATATATATATATATATATATATATATATATATATATTGTGGTATTTGGTAAAATAACATAACTAGCATGTGCATATGGGTCAAATTAAATTTTGGTTTAGTTTTCCAAACCGAGTATTACTAATAATTCCAATGACTTTTCAATTTAATTGATATTTCCAATATGGTATTTAATGAATGCACATATATGTAAATACACGGAAAGGGCAAAGGTATATTCTATAAATGAGGCTTAATTATTTTTATGTTACATTCAGTTTCATCTATATCAACTTTAAGTATCCAAGCGAATATGATTTCAGAATTCGGCATTTTCGCTATGAAAGAGTACTTACACTGTTTGAAATATTGTCATTGATTTCGTTAACCGATTGTAACGTTTGAACGTACGTCCAAAAATCAGGCTTAACAGCACGGCGAGTTATGTATGATGTATCTGATGATACTTACAAGAAATGCACGCTAAAAAATGGTAGTTGTGCGACAGTGAGAGCTGTGTGGTTTGCAGCCGTTGCCGGTACCGGGGCTGGGACTGCTGGGATTGCCTCGATTAATGTCAACTGTGCCACTGCTACTAGACGTCGTCATTCGGTAGCAAGTCATCCCCATTCCGTCAATAATTCCCAATCCGCTCATGTCACAACAAGTACAACTACTACAACGACAACCATCACCATCACAACGACCGCCACCGCAACCACTACAACCACAACCGCAATAATATCCCATCAGAGAACCTTGTCGCTGCCCTTAGCTGCTGTTATTATCAATCAAACGCAATCATCCAAAAGATCTGTTTTACGCTGTATGTATTTTCGTTTCGTCATATGTTAAACCAGTCAGAGATATCTTTTTCTCTCTCTTTCTCTTTCTCTTACTGTCTCTTTCTTTCTTTCCTTCTATTTCAATGTTTCTGCCATTACTCCACTGTCTGTTTTCAATCCAATTTGATGCTCGTGATGAACGCATCGAGTCACGGTTGTAATGTATTACTCGTGACTCGAATTTCGAGGAAAGGCCATAGATGTAAGCTTCCGCTTGCATGCCAGAAGATGCACGATTCTCCCCAAAGAAGACGGCTTTTCGTTTTTACCTCCTTTCGATTCGTTATAAACCTCTTCCTTGCTCGTCAATTTTCGAGCTGCGATTCCGTCGAATATTTCTTCGAATTGTTCTGGTACATATCTTCCATTTGGTTTCTTCGTGCATTGTAATATCACGTATTCCCTCACTATAATCATTGTTCATTGCTTGAATCATATATAAATATATATTTTAAGAAAACTAACCAATAAACAATGTGAACATATAAAACTATATAAATACAAAGTGGATGGATATATGCGAATAAACTAACCGCTGCTGTTGCTGGGACGATGATATTGGCTTTTTATACTCTTTGTTAATAAAAAAACACATCTTCAGGGGATGATTATAATAAGTGTGTTTCCAGGTACTACCGGACGTGACAGATGCGACAGTTTGCCATCAAGAGCTCGGACAACAAGCGAATGTCATCCAGGCACGGTTGTCTTGAGTCATCCTAGAAGTTCTCATTTCATATCTCACGTACCCAGACCTCACTCTATGTATGGACGAGGTCTATCTTATTCTCCACCAGTTTCTTCGATGCCGAT